ACATTTTCAACACAAACTCTAGTAATGTTTACTCTGCACTGTTGGAAACATATTTTATTGGCTATCCCTGTTTGTATGTTTTATCACGTGGAGTTATGAGGTTTGATATATTTTTCATGATTATTTAAGGTTTCATCTTTGTGGGGTTGTTGTTCCATTCTTTGGTTGCTGGATGCTAGGCAAGTTTAGCTGCTAGAGTCCCTGGTAGGGACACATGGCTTCTTCACATTGCTTGGATGTACAAAGAAATGGATAAGGTCTAGGAGAATAGGATGATTATGCAATTGAAAAGACCTAGTGGGACTAACATCTGCAAGAAGAACTGGAGTTCTTGAGGTGTTATGGTGTAGGTTGAGGTGAGACTACTTCAAGAAGCTTGCAGTAGGACATTCTGTCTCGAGAGACAGGTATAAAAGTTTATTGGAATCTGGGGTCCACAACAGGAGACAATGTTTCCAGTGAGTGGAGTAGGAGTGGGAAGTGTGGCTCCTATATGCAGGCTGTCACTTAACTTTTAATTATTTCCCAATTGTCTCATGAAAAAATTCTTGTTCTACATGTAAAAATGCACGACCCAATGCTACAATTTTTATGACAAATCGTTGGCAATACCTTCCTTTCTACATAGTTTTTAAATCATAGATATTGTGAGACACATTTCCGCAGAAAATATGAACAAATTTCTATTTATATCAGCTTGGAACTGATGAAAGATAGTAGTTGGAGAACACTAACATCCATGTTTATGAAACAAAAATTATTTCCAAGAAATGTAAATAAAAGAAGCTATTTAGAAGACTATGGATGTAGGGCTACATACGGGAACATTAATGACACGAAGATAGCAGCATTGACAACTTTAAAATCTACACTCTGGAGAAATATCTTGGTGCAATCTTCGCTCTCAGATGTCCCAAAGCAGCTGATAATTAGCAGTAAACTATGAATGGGAAGGGTGTGTGAAGTGTCTCATCATGGTCTTTGAACGTCTTGTGAGACTTGGAGCTCGCATACTACTGTCCAATTCTTTCTTGTGGGAGTTTTAAAACCTTGAACTCTTGGAGATTTCATGTGTTCTCACAGCTTTCTGCTACACAGTTAGAATGTCCATGTGTATCATAGAATACATAGCTGAATTACAGTACAGATTCAGAATATTCTGCAACTTTTCTTTATGAGACTATATTTAATGGCTTGTATGTTATTGACCACAGCCTTCATAAAGGTGCTGAGTAAATCTGTCCAAGTGAGCTGCAAGTCTGGGGTAGGCAGCCAGGATAGAGTATAGATTTTAGAAAATGATGAGTTGAGATTATTGGAAAATACATCAGACATGTTGAGGTTAGGAAGTGGATCAGCCATTGAGTTGTTGAAGGCACATTAAAATATAAAGGCTGTATTTCTGACTTTCATTCAGAAACCAATAACATTGGAGTGAATATGGAGGAGTGCTGCTATCAGGACGATTTGATCAGAGATTGTTGGGTTGGTCAACAATAAATTGAAAAACAAAGGAATGAATTTGAAAGAGGAGTTAACAAGATATACATACAAGTACAAGAAAGTATGAATGAAATAACTTCTATTAAATCAGTTCAATGCTGTTACTTTTTGTGTTGATTTTGGATGCAATATATATATATATATATATATATATATATATATATATATACATATCCTTTTCTTTACTCTTTCAAAATTGCATATGTCAAAAACAGTGTTGCAGAGATCATTTGATTCAAAATAATCACGTGTGTGTTCCCACTTCCTGAGTTATGTGAACAAAATCACTGATGATACAAAGCTTCCCTATATAAACCATTGTTTTATGAGATGTGACAATTTACAATGTATTTGTAGTTCAGTAGACTTGATTGAATATAGAAGTAATGATTGTTCAGAAGCTTTGAATTTACATGTTGGTAAAAGGGTAGTGTACACTCCTTTTTGAGCAAACATACTGGTTGGAAGATCTCAATTCACAACTCATGAACATTAAGATAATCAAAGTTGGAAACATCTCACAGATGACTGCCAGTGTGTTCACCATGAAGGAGTAGAGATTATTCATGAGAATAAATAAAAGGATGCAGGTGCATGTGTTAGAGCAGACAGCTTCTTTCTTTGGTGCTTTCTATTTCTCACTACAAAAACCTTTTCTTCTAAAAATACACTGGTGATGTGCTGCTATTATTATTATTACTATTACTATTATCATGATGATATGAGTGTTTTTCTTTCATAATTGTTTCCCAGAGTGCTTCTCTAAAAGTTTCCATGCTTTTAATGAGTTTGATACACTACTTGTCTTGCTCAGATATGAACCAGTTAGTGTAAATACGTGGATGATCGTAGGGATATAGGTTATTTTAATTAATCTGGGGGGATTTGATGAAGGATGTACACATGTTTATGAATATTTGTAGCCATTGTTTCCTGAGTCTGTGTAAACACATCCACAACTAAAACATCAATTAGCATTTAGATACCTTACAATTATAGATTTCATACACCTCACCATTACTTTTATGAGATTGGTATGAGATACTTCAGAAATTCATGAATGTACTGACTTGACATAAATGTTTGTTATTACATAGATTGACATAGTTGCATAAGCACTACAGTCTGGCATTAGTAGTGAATTACAATAAAGGGTTTTAATGAAAGTTGCCAAGTGTTCAGTGCACTTTACATTACCAGAATCTATGCATCAGATTTTGGGAATGCTCATGTGCAGGGAAGACAGATCACTGCTGCTTTTGACTGCACACTCTTATCAAGATGCTCTCCTAGTCGAGATATTTGATCCTATGATTAATATTCAGTGTTATGTGCTGTGTCATGGATGTAATTTAGAGGTAACAAGTAATAAAAATAGTGAGAGAGTTAAAACAAATCTTAGAGTGTGAGGGCTGCCAACCCGAGAGAGGCAATGACGGATGTCAGTACCCAGATCAACACTACACTTTTAAAGTTTATTGGACTGTGTAATTTCATTTAAAGAAAAGATTAAACTGCTACTCACAAATTTAATTTACTGCTAGTGTGCATTATTCTGCCATCTATTTTATGTCTTAATTGTTTTGAGGAAACACTGTAAAAACAAGGCAGAGCTGTTATTATATGAAGGCATTCATAACAAAACAAAATATATAAATGATAGATTTAAAAAAAAAGAGTATCCACTGAATAGGGATTAACATAAAAATCAGGGGAAATTGTTAATATATGTGTAAACCAAAAAGTATTCATGTTCATTTATCCATAGAAAGTATTTATTTAGCTACCACTCGGTCATATTTGAAATGCCACATGTCACTTCCCATCTCTGATACTTTATACGAAAAGATACACACATTTATTTTATCAAACTTTCTTTCCATGAAAAAAGTCAATAAACCCTGAATCATTCTCAAAGAAAGTAAAGTAATTTATATCATAGTTTTGAAGGTGAAGGAGCATGCTGATAAATCTGCACAGGTGCAGTGAGGACAGGAGAGCAGATGTGATCAAAGTCAGTGGGAACATGGTTCAGAACTCACATGTAAAGACCAGTAGTTAGATGGAAGCGGGACCTGTAATCTTTCCTCCAGGATAACCTCCTAAATGACACCAAGCTTCCAATATATGGTGTCTGGGGAAACACTGAGAATGTTTCCTTATCACAGAGCATGTTGATTAAGAAAGCAATGTATTCCGTTATTTAAAGAAATTAAAACATCACTTAGAGATGTTTCCTTGTTTTTCTTTGTTTCAGAATTATTTATTTATTTTATAAATGTGAGTACACTGTAGCTGTTTTCAAACATACATGAAGGGGCATCTATACAATTACACATGGTTGTGAGCAGCCGTGTAATTGCTGGGAATTGAACTCAGGACCTCTGGAAGGGCAGTCAGTGGTCTTCACCACTGAGCCATCTCTCCAGCTCCTGAACTCAAAGTATTCTTAAAACTTATTTTGATGGTTTTCAAACTTTGTATACAATGTTCAGTGCCTGGGGATTCCAGAAGAGGACATTGCACCCCAGAATCTAGAGTCATAGGCTGTGGTTAACTCATGTGTGGAGGTGTTTGGACTTCAACGCTTATCTATGTGAGAGGAGCACACATTCCTAACTTCTGATCTTTCTTCCTAGAACTGAAGAGATCAGTGTCCAGGTTGATTCTTTCATATTAAAAGAGCTGAATTCTATAAGCAATGTGTAGAAACAGAAACAATGTATATGAAACATGAGAAAATTTAAAAGTCAAGTATAAATTGTATATTCAGAAACTCATCCTCTTTGTGTAATGAAATGTTTTAAAATGATTTGCACATTAAGGTCAAACTTTCCCCCGCTGTTTTTTTTTTTTTTGTTTGTTTGATAGAGGAGGTAGTGGAGAAGGCATGTTTGAGCCTCGTCATATTATTTTCTATTTTGAAAATGTATGCAGATCTATGTCCAAAGATGAAAAATAAATTTGAGCCATATGTTGGCACTTGTATACTGAAATGTGTTATAGAAATATCTCTGCAATTAAAGTATGAGTATAACAAAGGAAGGTACAGTGCCACATATCCACAAGGAGAATGGAAAATGCATCATGTAATATTATTTTCCATTTTAAAAAAATGGAGTGGAGCATAGAATGCATAAGTGCAAGGATACAAAATATAAGCACAGATTTCCTGCAAATGCTTACTGGAATGTCATCCAGAAAACTAGAAAGCTCAACACCAAGAGCATACTGGACTTGAAACCTGAAATTTACCTAGTTTTTCATTAGTCTTTGTAATTTAATTCAGTTGCACTTGCATACAAAATGACACGAGCAATTACATTTGTACATCTGTGTTTGTATGTGTGTCTGTGTGAGTGTAAACACATTCACCTGCATGCACACAGATATCTTGCTTACCTGCAGAAGCCTCTACAATGCCATGATATTATTGCTATTATGCTCACTGTACTGTCAGAATGAATGAATAACCATGCAAATCTGGCCAGAAGCTCTCAATTGTGTTCCTTGTCAGAGGACTTGGGGAAGTGTCTATTCTTTTTCAAGTAACTGGATGCCCTACAGTCTTGACTCATGAGAAGAAAGGGACAAAGAGTGGGGAAAAGCAGAGAGGACACTTCAGCCATATTCACCAGAGACCAGCTGGGATTATACATGATGGATACAAATGATTGACAAAGGGAAGAAATTGTGTAAAAGGAGACAAAAGTACTGACCAGGAGAAGGATGGTCTTAGTGGCTCTGGATTCAGGGGAGGATCTAGAAGATGCATTGATTCTTGACATGTATTTCATCATCTGCTTGTGCCTGTAGAGTGTGAGAACCATGGAGCCACTGGCCCATAGCATGAGCCCCAGCAAAACCATATCAAGGCCGGACAGTAATATTGCATAAAGGATGTCACTGGTTGGATCTTGCCGAACAGAAGAGCAGTATATAAAAGCTTTCATGTTTGTTGTGCTTTCATTGCCATGTTTTGCCCTCATGTGCACAAAACTTATGCTGCTTATAGATAAATAAATTACCCAGTTGAGGTACACAGAGCAACAAATGCATTTCTGTATTCTTACTTTAAGTTCTGAATACTTGGAGTTCCTTGAGCTGATGCTCATGGCCTGAAACACACTAAGAAATGAGGTGCTGCCAATACAAGCACCCCTAGCTAGTCTGTGTATAGAAGGAACTAATTTGCATCCCATATCGTTGAAAATGTCTTTAAACCCAAAAGAGGATATTGTCTTGGGCAATCCTGTACACAGTAATGTTAAGATGTTGGCTACAATCAAGTGCCTGAGAACCCAATCTGTAGACCTTAACCTATACTTTATTAGGTAAATATAAATATAATGGTATAGAAGAGTAAAATTCCCTAGAATTCCAATTATAGTCAGAGATAAGAAAGTCATTCCTACAAGCCACTCACTGGTTTCCAGGCTGTCAGTTCTTGTTCCCAAACTGAGGACCCTGTATGGCAAGGTGAAGCTGTAGACATAGTCACCATTCTTTCTTCCCAATGAATTCACAAGATGTATTCAACAAGTAGGGCATCTACCACTTTGCCATAATTTCTACACATAAAAGTGATTGAATGAGGCCTCAAAGCATTCGGATATCTCTAGGTTCATACTTTGTGAAATGTGTGAAAATCTAACAATGTCTCATTAACAGGACAAGCAGAAAAATATCTGTTATAGTACTGGCTCATGTTTGAAATAAAGCAATGGTTCGATGAAATCAACTAGCCAGAAGTCATATGTCATTAATTTAATTCTGGGTAATAAACACAAATGCATGTAAAGTAAAGTAGTAGGGCAACCAAATCATTATTAAGAGAAAATTATATATTATCTTTATATCACCAAGTGAAGTCATGCTATGTTTAAGGACATAAGAGTTATTTTTGTAATTTTAGGCTACAATTCTCACTAGCACTGTAATAACAGATAGCTTCAAACATTGACACAGGTGGGAAAAGATTACTACAAGAATAGACATTAATGTTTAAAATATTTAGGGTCAGAGGGAAAGTTAGCAGTGAGAAAACAATATCCTATAGAACTTGTCTATGGGGGAAGTTTTTCTGCTTTTAATCTCCTACACAAGTAATAAGGAAACCTATATTTAACGATGATGTTTCAAATATATGCAAAAATATTTAATTCTACTAGTTGAAGTAAGAAAGAAATAAAATTTATAAATGTGTTAATTTAAAAGACCCTTTCTGTATGCACAAAAAAAAATACTGAAATTCCTTCAATTATTATTATTTCAAACTGGTAGGAGACCTATTTTCATTAATCACATTCTCACTCTGAAACAGAGAAAAAGTTTTGTTCAAATGAGGTCGTCAGTTATATGCAATTCCTTGTAGAATTGATTGATTTCTGGAACATATTTCACTCATCCCTTCAAAGGTGAAGTAATAGTAGTTGTACCTGTAGAAATCCTGAAAATGTACTACGCATATTACATGGTATATCAGGTTATTAAATCTGTGAATTTACTGTCAGGATACTTAGATTTTAGTTAGTTTTGACTATAAAGATTATTTACAAATATTTCATAAAATAGTCAGAACATATCCAAGTGTATAATGAAAGAATCTCTGTCACAAATATCCTGTGAACGAATCCTCCTTCCAGAGCCTATGATCTAATCCATCATTGTACAGACTCACGACTGTGCATAACAACTCAGAGAAAACTAAAACTAATAAACTTACTACAAAGATGTGCAGTGTCACTGACCTCAACGACCATCCTTTGTCAGGTGTCCTAGTGAAATCTTCCATAAGGGAAAATGATTTCTTTCAGACAGACATTCTTAAGCACTAGATTCTTAACGAGTGTGACAGCACAGATGGCACTGACAGTGAGGAGTGGGCTGAGTTAGAAGTGGATTGCAGTGCTTCTAGGACCCCAGCATTCATTTCTATCTGATTACCTTCCTGAGGAGTTTCTCTGTGTCCTATGTAGCTTTGTTATTCATCCAGATTCAGTGCCATGTCTGAATGTCTGTTAGGATTACTTACCAAGACTTACTTGTACATTAAATCTTCTCTGCTCTCAGATTGCAGTCTGTTCCACTTTCTGGACCATTTCTCTTCCTGGGATGCTGATATCAGTGCCCTGGCCACAGAGTTCAAAAAGTCATCTGAAGGGAGGTACCAGGGCCTGAGATATGGATCTCTGATTCTATGACCTCATCTCCCCTCAGACTTGCAATTATTTCACGTGCAGTAGCAATGGATATTCTATGTAGGCTTGACCAGGCAATAAATATGCGCTGAACTTTTCTCCCCTGTTTACAGTTCTCAACAAAGAAGTACAACTCTTGCTCTCAGGTGTTAAGGGAATATTTTGATGTCAAGAATGGTTGGTACTTGCTCTGTTTTCTAGAGGTCATGGGATTTCACCTTTATGTTTCAGGAGAAAATGTGACCCATGTGATGAGTGTAATTGACTTATGTGTGTGTATTGTAGCTGATGGTTGTCTGAGATGTTCTGCACACAAATCGTTGTTTACCTTACTTATCTCAGGGTAAACCAATATGTGGAATAGAAATTCAGTTTGCAATCCCACCAGCAATGGAGCAGTGTTATTTCTCCACATCCTTCCCAACATGTGTTGTCACCTGGGCTTCTGAGTTTAACCATTCTGATTGGTGTAAGGTGGATTCTCAGGGTCGTTTTGATTTGCATTTCTCTGATCACTCAGGTACTTGAACATTTCTTTAGGTGTTCCTCAGCCGTTTGTGATTCCTCTGCTATGAATTCTAGGTTAAGTTCTATACACCATTTTTAAATTTTTTTGTTTGGTTATCTGGTGGTTAGCTTCTTGTGTTCTTTATATAATTTGGATATTAGCTGTCTAACTGATATGGGGTTAGTGAAGTTTTTTTCCCTAATTTATATGTTGCCAATTTGTCTTACTATGTCCTTTGTCTTACAGAAATTTTCCAGTCTTACAAGGTCCCATTATTCAATTCTTGATCTTAGATCATGAGCCATTAGAGTTCTGTGTAGTTTCACCCTGTGCTATGAATTCAAGGCTGTTTCCAACTTTCCCTTCCATTTAGTGTATTTGGTTTTACTTTGGGATTCTTTATTTGCTTTGCTTTGTGCAAGGTGACAAGTATTTTCATTTTTTAAAATAAAGACAGCAAGTTAGGCCAGAATCATTTATTGAAGATGTATTCTCTTTTATTTTATATATTCTTGGCATGTTTGTGAAAGATCAAATATCCATAAATGTGTGGTTTTATTTCTGGGTATTCAGTTCTATTTCATTGGTTAACATGTCTGTCTCTGTACAAATATCATGCAGTTTTTATCACTATTTCTCTGTAGTAAACTTGAGATTAGGGATGGCAATTCTGCCAGCTGTTCTTTTATTGTTAAGATTGTTTTCACTATTCTTTTCTTGTTTTTTTTGTTTTGTTTTGTTTTATTTGCCTTTCCAGATGAATTTCCCAATTTCTCTTTCCATATCTTTGAAGATTTGTTTTGTGATTTTGATGGGATTGCATTGAATCTGTAGGTTGTGTTTGGAAGAATGCCCATTTTTATTATGTTAATTCTGCCAATCCATGAACATGGGAGATCTCTCCATTTTCTGAGATCTTCAATTTTTTTTCTTGAGTTTATTGTCATACAGGTTGGGAAAAGCTGTTAGGAGCTGAGGAATAGGGCAACTCTGTAGTAGAACAAGAAGTCTCAATTAACCTGCATTGCCAAGATCTCTCAATCAATGGACCACCAGCCAGGCAGCATACACCAGTTGATATGAGGCCCCCAGTACATATACAGCAGAGAACACCCAAGTTTGGGTTCAGTCAGTGAAGTTGCATCTAACCCTCAAGAAACTGGAGGCTCCATGGAGTTTAGAATCTTGTGGGGTGGGGGCTGGAGGCTGGGGACAACCTCATGGAGACCGGGTTGGGGGAGCTTCGAGGAGTTATGGTATGTGGAAAAGTTGTAGGGTGGACTGGGAGGGTAATAAAATCTGGAGAGTATAAATAAATAAATAAATAAATAAATAAATCTTAAAAAGGAAATTCAGTGGAAAGTAGATATGTTTGATATTCTCAAGGAGCACCATTCAATTCATAAATCTAAATAATGGAACATGCAGTAGCTAGACGTCTGCATATTTAACACAAATGTAAAGCTTGGTCTTCAGGTGGATACCATAACTATTGATGTTGTGGATATCTTTGTGTCACTTCTTTAGCATTGTTCCCTTACCCCTATCTAGACTCCATGGATGGTCCTCAGCGGGGGAAGCTTTGCCTTGTCCTTCTGGGACTAGATGTCCCATGGTGAAGTGATACCAAAGAGGGGTTCCCTTTCTTTGACGAGAAGGAGAGGGGGCTCTGAAGGTATGGTCTTTAAGTATGAGAGTAGGGATAGAGGACGGAGAGTATCTGTGGTATACATAGAACGAGAGTAAATTTTTAGAAAAATAAACCATAAAACAAAACAAAAACAAGTTAACAGTAATGTTTATTGAATAAATGTAAGTTTCCCAAAGTAATTTACACTTGCTATTACTTTATTTACTTATTTATTTGCTTATTTAATTATTTATGTTTTTTTCTTGCTTGCTTTTTAAAGCTGGATCCAATTTTGCAGTTGATATTTTTTTGCCATTTTCTAAAGATCTTTGATTAATTTTTATCACATTCTAATTTTTAATTATCTGTTCATGAAATAATCAGCAATAATTCTTAAGGAGAGACTGATATATTAATCCATGCAAGAGAAGTGATTTAAAGAGGAGCAGTATCACCTGTGGTCAGTAGGAGTCACACTAACTAAACAGGTACAAAGTAATGATGCTCATCACAGACCTCCCCACCCACTGCACACATAGAAAACCCATTACCTCAGAAGAAACTGCAGCTAATAATCAGATCTACAGCTGAACCGCAATTCTAATCATAATGCCGATTACACTTCCTGTTCAGTACATAGTAAGTGAAGCAGAAGGTCATTTGTAACCAAAACTTAGAACAAAACAAATGAAGAATTTCCTAGTTAATAAAAACCCCTTTGGTTCCCTCACACACCTTGTAGAGCTTTGAGCATCCCTATTCTTATTCTGGCTACTACATTTTAAATTCTTGTTTTTAGTTTCTTATATTATTATTTATTTATTTATTTTATTTTTTTTTAATAATTTATTTATTTTTGAACATGAAATGCTTTTTTATAGCATGTTTCACAAGGGGAGGGGGTAAGAGGGGCCAGATGGTGGAAAAGTACAAAATCTTCTTGGCTTGTGCCTTGAAACATGTCATGGTCTATACGGATCACCACAACAAAAATTGGCTTTTTCCTAAACCAAGGCCGCCCTTGATATGGCCGCTAACATTGGGGAGCCTTCCTTTATGACAATATTACACCCCAAACTGACAAATGGTTGGTAAATTGAACATTTACAAGGGACTAGGATGGCTGTGAGTTAGCCCAATGACGGGATTATTGTAGGTCCACTTCCCAGGGGCCCACCCAATGCAGCCGAAAAGGAG